GCTTTCTGATAGCAATTGGAAAGGTAATCCTGCGCTCTGGGTGTGTTTTCTTTTATTGATGTGGGGGACACAGGAGCTGTCAGCGCCACTGTTCCGCTGCTGGTGAAATAGTAATGAGCGTGTATAATGGGCCAGCGCCAGTGTGGTTTACAGCTTGTTTGCTCTTGTAGCCAGGCCCCTGTGTTGTAACTGCGTGTCTGGCTGTGTTGTGTTTTATCGGAGTATCTTGCCGTGTTGGCGAGGGAGACACAACAATTTAGCTTGGATGGCTACAGTTAGCTCATAGCTGAATCAGTGGGTGCCGAACCACAAACATGTGGGGGGCCAATTTATTGTGAGTTGAAAACTAGTCTCTGAATTCACTTCACTGGATCTTTAATTGAATATGTCTTTCTGGAGATGACATTCCACATTAAACGATTGATAACTAACCTAGTGTATGTACTCTGTAAACTAGGATGATGCTCTATAACTGCTGGGAATTGGAGTGAAGAGGAACGTATGAAAGTATTTATGAAAAGTCAGAAGTATTTCTCTTTGTGTAATATCATGGCTTTGTTTGTGTTGCGCATGAGCGCACAGGCTGGCGATCAGCCGACCTTCGGACCTTTGGAATTTGGGCTTGACAGTATCGCTTGCAGTTCACTGCTCAGCAAACAACTCAGCTGTTTGAATTCCATGCGCCGTTCTTTTTTTTATATCCAATATTTTGTGCAGCCACTTGCCTCGCTTTGTCAATGTTTAACTGGAGACCACTGCTTTCGGGAACTCTCGAGCTGACTTGCTGTGTCTCTGTACAGTTTAGTTCAGTTCATTTTTATTTATGGTACATTGTGGCCTGGGAACCATCGCTCCAACATCCATCAATTTCTTCCAAGTGCTGTCAGTAAAATTGGCGAGATTGGGATTGTCGTCGCATTGTGACATTGACGATAGCATCTTCTATTTCTTCATCTACCAGTATGCTTTCTTTTTCTTTGTTTTTTGGGGGGGACAGTCTACAGGCCCTTTGGCACTGTGCTGCCTTTGACAGGTCAGTCTTGGAACTACTACCACCATCTGATTTGCAGGAAGAGTCTCATGACTGTCGGTGGAGATATCGCGATGTGTGTGTGTGTGTGTGTGTGTGTGTGTGTGTGTGTGTGTGTGTGTGCGTGTGCGTGTGCGTGTG